TTGAAGGGCTATTTTGATACCATTTGCTAATAAGTCAGTAGTATTAAGTCCATTAAAGCAACAATACCTGCACCCATTGATGATCATGGTTTGATGCATTCCAGACTTTTAAGTCTTAAGACCTTAACACCTGGCACAGGTGAGCCCAGACAGATTTCTCACCTGGCTTTTCCTTTATACTTGCCCTAAAGGCTCCTTTGTCCCCCTGAGATTATGTTGATTTTTGCCCCCTCTATTGGCTATTGTTTACCTCAACACCTTACTTGCTTCCAAAAATGTCCTCTCTCTTTGTGTAAAGCACTGCAATAATATGTATATTATGAGGGCAATAAGATTGAATTGTAGCTTTGGCTTTGGCAACCCATTACAGGCAAAGTGTGTTTTTTCATCTGAAAACATATCTTGAATATCTTCGACAAGCAGCTTTTCACAATTCTGTCGAATGTGTTCAGACTGACAATTTAACAGTAAAACAGTCTTGATAGGGATCTCCAAGCATTTCGTCATTTTGCTTTCTCATACACAAGCACCTTTCTTCAAGTTTCTTTAGACCCATGCCAAACCAAAACACAGAAATCCGTAGCTTCAGGGGTGTGGACGATTTTATGCTCCATGTTTTTCTGTCAATCATGTGGTAGAAAGAAAGGTGATTCCATTGATTTACAACAAGAATTCGGTACAGTAATGAGTCCCATTCATCGCAGAAGGTGACAAGATTTATTCAGAATTGGTTTGAAGTAGACTAAGTGTCTCTGGTGGTGGCTGGTCAGCAATACCAAGGAATGTTAATCATTTATAAATATATACATAGTAGAAAATGTCTACCATAGAAAAAGTATACAATGTACACTACAGTGCAAAACCAGTCATCACATGTGTTCACCACTATGTCATGGATAATCATGTACTTATTGTCATGTTCCTGAGATAAACCTGTGGGACTCTACAGGTGCCTTACAGCAAAACATTTGTACTGATTGCAGATGTAACTGGGAACAATACACTCCAAAGAGTTAACAATTATGATTGACAACAAATATGCAGAATCAAGCACAGACTGGTACATGCATGGAATTCCTGCAAGTTTAAAGAAAATGGAAAAGGATTAACCCTGTTTTTGAAGCAATTTCTGCCTGACTTTTCAAACTGTGAGGGTAAGAAACTGGAGACCACGATGGCCTGAGGCCTGGAGACTTCCTTTAATAGACAGAAGGTGTGCCGCTTCCTTTGTAGACCGACTGGTGCCAGTCTTGACAAGATGATGGAAAAAATGAAGGCATTTAAGGTGGAATCAAAGACATTAAGATTCATTAGGACGGGCTCATTTGACAACTTAAAAATAGATTCAAATAAGAGATATCTGAAATATTGTGTTGAAAAAAGAAAACTTGATAACTCTCAAGTCAGTTCCAGATAGATACACTAGCTACTAAAAGCATGTTGAGTACCAATCTGCTTGGGTGGCTTTTCCTAATTAAGAAGTTTGCCCTTCAATTGAACAGAAAACTGGCCACTTACATACTTTACGGAAATGTCTTTCTTCATTACTTTCCATTGGGGAATTTTTGTAGCCTAATGGGATGTCTTAGGAGTTTTTGTACTTCCATAAAGAACTGTTAATTGCTTGAAGAATTGTCCAATCTTAAAGTATCGTTTTACTATCATACAGTAAATGGTTCGAACTTCGAAGAAATGTTGTACATGTAAATGTAAGCATTTAGATGGTGCAGCTGAAGCAACTACAGGGCTTGAAATACTGGATGAATATGCTACACCTTATTGCAGGTGAAGTTGAAGCTGTGCGGGTATTTCTGATGTCTACTTGCACCTAAGCTGCACTTCTCCTTGTATTGGGTTTATATATACAGGAAGGTGTAGGTGGATTTTTATTTGCTGCATTGACTGCACTGACCACCTATGGAGTATAGGAAATACATGTAACAGCAATGGTTTTTGAACAGCTTTTAGCATGATCCATACTTCCTAAATTCTGAGCCGTGTAGGTAAAATTTGTCTGGTGTAGGTAAATTTTCAATGTTACCTGCATCAGTGCAGAGTAATGAGTTGCGCAGAAAAATGTATTTCGAGCCCTGAAGTTTTTCTGACATTGTGCACATGTCAGGAAAACTTTACCTGTTGAACACAAGATGAGCTCCCACCTGTGCTGTCCCTCTCTGTGAGTCACCTCACCTCAGGTGATGGGACTATAATAACACCTTTTGCCTTCCGCACAGGAATAGGTGGTCTTTAGAAGTCACCCCTACCCTGGACAACCTGTAATTTTAAGCGGGTTGTGCTTTGATGTTTTGATGTTGGAGCCAATAGGTCACCAACCTGAGTGAAGTCACAGAATTGAGCTAAAACAATTGTGTTTTTCATGCAGGTATCAAGCACATTTTCTGTTAATCAACCTTATAGAAATATACTCTGTAATGTCCAAGCAGTACTTTTGGTTTTGCTGACCAAAAAGGATGTTACGACGTTCAACGACGATGTAGTTTTTCGACGTTCTTTTATATGGTTCTGATAGTGTTAGTTTGTCATCAAGTCATAATCACAAAAGTGTTGAAAAATTACAAGTCATCAGCCAGAGATTAGTAGAGGAAGGTAAACCAGGTATTAAAGGTTGTTTGGAGCTACACATTGTAAACAGATCACTGTAGACTACTTTAGACTAGAAGCAAGAGGTGGCAAGGAGGTCTTGTGGGTTGTTGTTGTTGACTCTGAAGGTTCTGTGTTCTAATCCCTGGCAGGCCTACGTGTTGTGGGTTTGTTTTTGCATTTGCTTTGTTATATTCTACAGTATTCACACCATGAGTGACCCAATTCTGTTATGACTTTCCACGTGATCATTGATTAATGGCAATCTGAAATAATTTGACTTAGACATCCGGTACAACCAAGGTCTCATTGATACAACTTTACACTTTTGGAGATCCTAATAACTGGTTATCACTATATCAGGCCTGTGTTTGTGCATTATGAGATTCATATCATTTGGAATTCTCTGCTGTTTTGGGTGCATTTTTCCCATCACCTCAGTGCCCTTAAGTATGAAACTCTGTATGTCGGCTCATTCCTTTGTTCTTTCAAAGGTGCTAATTATCTCATCAAAGTAGGAAGAAAAGAAATCCCCACTAATTAGAGTGCTTGTATTTTGAATTGATTGATCCTTATTCTTATCAATGAAATGAGTATATGCTAAACCACACGGCGAACATCAAACAGTTTTTTTTTTCAAAAGGCAAAGTGGGAAGTTGCAAAACAATGTCCACACCACCATCCTTGCTCTTTACATTATTATGTATACATTGTTGATGTACCCTTGTCTTTGACAAGTTTTGTCCCACTTTTCATCCAGACAAAGCAGAGACATGTTGCTGGTTTACCTGTGCACATACTTCTTTCGTGTTAGCATGTCAGCACTATTCTACCGCTCAGTATCCACAACAAAAACGCTTACAAACCTTTCATTCAGCGGCTACACCGGTGGTCCATTTGTTAGCCTGTAGATTGTTTACATGATAAGGTCGCAGGCATGCAGACTGTGGCCTTCCTGTGTCTGCACTTGAACTAGGCTGGTTTGTATAGAAGTCTGATAACAAGTAATACACAAGCACTTGAACTGTAAAGTGTTACCAGGGTTTTCCTGACTTCTTGAGTAAGAGATCATTGGGCAGATAGTGCCCTGTGGAAATTGTACCAACCTACATTTGTACAGTGATTGTTGTAACATCACAACTACTTATAAGTTATAATGAAGGGATTTTTATCCCTACATACATGTAAATTCAAACCTGGCAGGCTGTGAATCCTTCATCATTTAAGTGCATTTTTAGATTAATATGTAGATATGACACGTTGACTCATAACTTACAGGACCATTGGCCATCAAGTATGTTTATGTCATTTAGAAAGTCGTAACATTTTTGGAGGCCTAAGTCAGGAAACACGAAACTACTTAAAGCTTGATGTGCATATGGCCAGTAAGGAACCAATATATACTTTTGTGATGCCAGTTATGTTACATCTACAAACACCTATTGTAACAGTACAGAATGACTTCTTGAAAATTCAGATTAACCTTTGATTTGTAGCTGTAGTTATCATGATTAGACAATTGTGTCATTGAAGGTCAGTTACCTTGAGTCACTGAGTATAGGTCTGCTAAACAGAGGTAGCAGTCAGTTCCAGGTGGTTAGTTTCATTTCTTTTGAACCTATGAATGTTTATCCTTATCAGCAGACTGATTACAACTGTGAAAGGATAGTATTCGTCTGGTGTTGGAATTTGGGATTTAAAAGTGTAACCTACATACATGTATGTATCTTGAATGACCTGTATGTCCTGTCTTTATGGTACCAGTAGGAGAAAGCACTGACCCTGCAAGCCCCAGTACTATTACTTTCTCACATATTTCCTTAAATGCCTACCATCCAACTGTTTCAAGTTGAAAGGCTGTTTGGGGGAAGTTTTTTCTGTAAGGGCTGAACAGTTACTGGCCCAGAGTGACCTAAACTTCAAAACACACTTAGAGTCTTTTGGAGTCCCTTCAAGCGCACATGTACCTGTTATGGCAGACACATGCCTGGGGGCAGGGCATTTAATATTACAATCTAGTGGATTGTCTTGGAGCCCTGGAACATGGATAAAGTAGTTGTTCAACCAAACTTACTTGTCTTGTGCAGTTCCATTGGTAGCCAACAGGTGGCAGTTGTGCATGATCAAGAATGCAACTGTTCATGTACACAATGTACTTGGGGAAAAAAGTGTAGAAAAGTTGAAAGCAATGTTCCATTGAAAAAAAGACAGAGCTACAGTAGAATTTACCATCGTAAGCATCGTAAGGATTTTGAAATCTTTTCCTTACGCTAACTCTGTGAATTGCTTTAGGCTGCTCTCTTGTTTACCACTACAATAATAGATGTTAACTTTGTGATTACAAGTTTCGTTTTCCTGTCATATGAAATGGTTAAGTCAGTATTTGTATCTTGCTGCAGGTATCTTGGCTATCCCCAGTGCCAGCTCCTCGCCGTCTGACAGAGGGAGTGACCACAGCAGACGGAAGGGCCATCGGCGGGACCGTGAGCAGCTGGGCAGCCTGGAGCTGATGAAGACACTGGAGCAGAGTCTGCTAACCACCTGTGTGGGCAGCATTGCTGAACTTGGTGAGATGTCTTATCTTGAAAGCTCATCTGTGGTAGGAGAAGTCAGTATGAAGCATTGCCAATGACTAAGCTAATGACTATGTAATGGTTCCAGACCTGAATTCACTGTTTCGATGTTTGAAGGAAGAAGAAGGCATCTGCCACATGTGGAAAGCTGGTTCAATTAATTGATATGTGGTTATTTTTGTGTTGCCAGGTGACTTGGTGTCCCGTGCCATGCACCACCAGCACCACAAGAGTGGATCCCGCTCCCCCAGCCCCGCCCTGACCTTGACCTGGGGGTCGGACGCCCTTCACACCCTGTTCTACTTCATGAAGTGCACCCAGCTGGAGTGTATGGACAACCCTAACATCGAGCCTCCCATGGTGCAGCTCAGCTGTGAGAGGTAATGGATTCTTAGTTTGTTTAACCTCTTGTGAAGTACATATAAAATAACCCAACACACTTGTGTAGGGGTGGCCCAGTGTATGCCGGCATTGCACTAGTAGCTACTTGAAAAAAATCATGCATCACCTTAGTTGTGGATGATAGAAGAACATAATGTCAATCTGTAGATTCATGTTTTTAAGTATAATGTCAGTTCTACCCTCATTCTGGCATCGTATGTGCACAAAGATACCCCGGGTGCCGGTTCCAAATGTCGCTGGCCATGTGACATTATAGCCGGCGGAAAGTACAGAGGATGGCACCCAGGTTAGCACAAAGAAGCTTATATCACACACAGTTCATCTAACATCCTTGTCTGTTCTACAGACCTTACGTGATCCTGCCGCCGCTGACGGAGTGGATCCGTGTTGCCACAGCGCACACTGAACACAGACAGAGCTGGGTGGTGGACTCTGATGATGTCAGACAGGCGGCCAGGCTGCTGCTGCCTGGTGTGGACTGTGAACCCAGGAGTCTGAGGTAACCACACTCCGAACTTTGTAACCAGGCTGTCTCTCAGCTTCTTCCCATGATCTGCCATATGTGTATCTGCCACTTTGTGTGTTTGAGAGATCTCTAGGGCAGCACCCAGTTTAGATATGCACTAGTGCATTTTCTGGTGGATGTTGCATTGGAGATCTGTTTCAATACAATTTTTCAGGGTGGCAGATATATGTTTGAATAATGTTAGACTAAGATACATGTTCGAATTATGTTAGACTAAATACACAAATACATGTATGTTAACTCTGTACTCAACCATCTGTGCTTTCCCTTCATCTCAGGATGGATGACTCTGTCTGTTCGTCCCGTACTCTTGACGCCACGGCAGCGTCCACCAGTTTCCAGCGAGACCTCGGTTTCCGCATGTTGAGTTGCGGCCGGATTGACCTGGTCCAGCAGGCTATTGCTATCATGGGCGAGAGCGGAATCAACACCATAAATGACCATGTGAGTTGATAGGACATAAGACCATATTATACATGTAGAACCTTGCGTTAAGCATCATGCACTTTCAGGATGGCAAAACAAAACAAAAAATGGATGATGATAATGAATTGCATTGGATGCCTTTGACAAAAGAAATACTACATCTCATACACATGTCAAATTCTGAAAACCAGAAGCAATGTGGACAAGTTATAATGCATCTCTAGACGTGTTCACAAATGGTTTTTGGGAAGAAAGTTGTGCTAATGACATTTCCACTGATTTCAGGGCATGACGCCCCTGATGTACGCCTGTGCGTCTGGGGATGAGGCGATGGTACAGATGCTGCTGGATGCTCATGCTGATCCTGATGTGGCAGTAAGGGACCTTCTATTTTCTTTGTTTCACAAAGGTTTCATTTATTCTACCGTGCCGACGTTTTGGCAACCTCTCTGTTGTCTTCATCAGGGCAAACTGAACTCATACTTTGTTCAAAAAAACTATCATAATGTTGAATTGACTTTCCAACCTGATGAAACTACCAGTATTTACAGAAGGAAGCTTTCTTGTTTATTTGTTTTTCCTTGTGTCCATTTTACCACATCTCACAAGGCAAATGTATACAATACTGATCTTGTATGAAATGTTTATAAGTGTAACTTTTTTTTGTGTAAAATGACAAAATGAGGTTAAGAGTGAAATAGCATTGAAGCCAGAAATTACATGAGGCTTACATACATGTATGTTTGTGTCACACAGGTACCAATGAACACGTACAAGTACCCGTCTGTTCGGGATGACATCAGAGGGTGGACAGCCCTGAGCTTTGCAGTGGTGCACATTCATGTCTCCATTGCACAGGTATGTGGAGATCAATTTCTTTACAATTAATGTAATGTCTACTAGCATAATTCCAGTAGGTCACATACATTGTATATCTGCCACTATGACAAAATGGGTCTAAAGAGATATGCAATGCAATGTCTCCCAGTATAATGCACTTATGCTTATCTAAACTCTGCGTACCTGGGAGGTGCTGCACTTTCAAACATGCTGAAAGAGACTAGTGAAAGTGGCAGATGTATGTAACCTAGTGGATTGAATGTAGGTTATATGGATCATAATTTATGGTCTGTTGCATTTCAATTTATGCTATGCTTGCTTTTCGTTGCAGCTGTTACTTGATGCAGGTGCAAGTGTAGAGGGGTCGGCTCACCAGTGTGGGGAGAACTACACAGAGACACCACTACAGCTGGCTGCAGCTGCAGGTACAGTAACTCTTGTTCTTCTGGAAGGTCTCGCAATCATCAGTATCAGAATCTGATGCATGGTGGCTGCAGACATGCACAGGTCTCACCAACTCTCTAGTAAAACATACTGTAATTGTTGAACCATCAACATGAATGAGTATCGTGCTTCAGAATCCAAACTTTCTCATTTTCTGGTGTTCATTTGTTCATTTTTTGAAGAACGACCAATATTACATGGCAAGAATGTTTGACTTTTTGAAGCTTTGATATCTGACAGATAAGTGAAAATCAATAAACAAAGCTAAACTACACAGGACAGAAGAAAAGCATTAAGACTAACAGTTCCCCTGTGCTGTTTTTTACTCCAGGTCATTTTGAGCTGGTCAGCCTGCTGCTGACTAAGGGTGCTGACCCCACCCTGGGGACGATGCCCAAGAACAGCATGACTCCCGTCTCCTCCAGGGGCAACATGAACTGCTTTGCTCAGGCTGCAGCAAACGGACACAGGTGAGCCAAGGCAAACACATCCACCTGTGATATATTTATTCTTGTTTATTTGTTCATTTGCACATAAAAACTGAAGTCAATTTGTAGGAAATAAAAATAATATGTGGAAACCTACAAGAGCTGAGCCTGATCAAATCCCACCGTACATGTACATGTATGTCCTTTTTCTGTACAGAAATGTCCTGCGGAAGCTGGTGTCTGCACCCCACATCTCCCGTCCGTCAGACGTCCTGTCCCTGGAGGAGATGTTGTCAGAAGGCTGCGGGAACAGCAGTCCCGTCACCAGCCCGGAGTTTCAGCTGCGCACCTGCAAGCTGCGCATCAAGGCCCTCCAGGAGGCCATGTACCATGGTGCTGAACACGGCTACCTGGACATCACCATGGAGCTCCGCGGGCTGGGTAGGTGGTCTTGGATGACATATTTACATGGATGTGTATTTGCACTTTCAAACAAGGCACTTTTAGTAAGTTCCTGCAATGACAGAAAAACTGGTTTTGGCTAGAGCCCTGGTTAAAAGGTTGAATCATAGAGTTGAATCAGACAGGTAGGATCTGACAATCCTAACCTATTAACTTCTGTGCCTTATAGGAGTGCCGTGGACCCTGCACACGTGGATGTGTACCCTGTCTACAGCCCAGCACCTCCACAGGAAGGCCATCATACAGTACCTGCTGCGCGAGTTCCCCACCCTGCGCCCGGGGGACTACAGTCAGGACTTCTGCCAGGAGGCCCTCCCACTCATGTTTGAGATCTTCAAGCAGAGCAAGGTGAGACTTTGGATAAAATCATGTTCATTTATGATGTATTTCTTGTGTGTTGCACCTATGGCAGTTATACCGGCGATACAGATATGTCAGAGTAAGTTCACACTGACAGTCTGACGTAGAACCTTTTAAAAGTGTAATAAGACAGTAATAAGAAGTAAGGAGAGTCTATAGTTGAGCCATAAAGCTGCCATGACTTTCAAACATGTATATGAAAATGCATGAATGAATGAATCAGTCTACTATTACATTATTATGTATTTGTTTGTTTATTTTCAGCATATTCAATTGAATAGATATGAATAAAATTCCATGGGCAAATGGCTAATTTGCAACTTTCCTTTCTCTTCAAACAGAACGAGGTCATCAGTCAGCAGCTTGCCACCATCTTTGCAAATTGCTACGGCAATGATCCCATCCCAGACATCCCTGAGTTGAGAAGACCACAGATCAGTAGGATTGGTCAGTGTCTAGTTTGCACCTGTAGCCATTAAACAATTTTTAAAAATGGCCATGTATTTTTAATAAGAATTATATCTATTGAACTTCATAGTCTTCACTGAAAAATTAACAATTTTTTATTGCATTATATTTTTTAACAAAGAAACATTTTTTAATTGTTCCTTGTTGGATGTTTGTTATATAATAGATCCCCAGTATGTGAACAACCCAGAGATGTCTGATGTGACCTTCATCGTGGAAGGCAAGCCGTTCTACGCCCACAAGATCATCCTCGCCAACGCATCAACTCGCTTCAAGAACATGCTCTCTGGGAAGTTCTCTGAAGGGAAGCAGCCTTGTATTGAGATTAGTGACATCAGATATCAAATTTTCCAGGTAAGCAAGTTGAAGTTTTTCATTCATGTCTTCCCAGAATAGAAATGTGGTTGAATGATACAATGCACTTTTAAAATCCAACTCCGATGGTGACATTTTAATTACACCTTTCTTTCCAGATTATTATGGAGTATCTGTACCTTGGGACAAATCCTACACTTGGGAACTCTCACTCTGATATTCTTGAGGTAAGAAACTGATTTCATTTTTTCACTTAATCAGTCTTACCGCCATTCCAAAAATTTGAAGGTCTGGAATAGTACAGACAATTACATTGAGCTGAAATTTTATCAAACTGAGGACTTCGATGGAGTTGGAGAATTCCTTGCTTATCCTAGAAGTAGACTTGCTACTGTTTGTTATTCAGTTTTTTGTTCGCATATTTTCAGCTTCTTGGTGCGTCAAATTTCTTCATGCTGGACAGCCTTCAGCGGCTGTGTGAGATTCTGCTGAGTCAGCACATTGACTTCAGCAATGCAGTCAGCATCTACAGACATGCCAAGGTACGTGCACATCATCGTCTCTTATAGCCATGTTAAGCTTGCATGTTAACATCAGGATTGATAAAATGCTGCCCTTTTTTTAATCATTCACAGCTGACCATTCCTTATTTCCCCTGCAGATGTACCATGCAGAAGAGCTGCTGTCCTACTGTTACGGTTACTTCCTACGCCACCTCCCGGAGCTGCTGGAGGAGGACAGCGTGAAGAAGCTGGTGTTCCACCACGGGCGCTCCCACCGCTGCGATGTGCTGCAGGAGCTCCAGGGGGCGCTGCTCATCAGGATGCAGTCTCGCATGAAACACAACTACGGCATCTGTGTCAGCTCCTGAAGTACCTGCACTGACCTACAGGGGGAGCTGCTGATATGGCTAGATGGCTCTGAACGAAACAGTTAACAAGTTACTGTGTTAATGGTTCCCAGCTGGTTTGGACTTAAGACCTGATTTTCACAATTCCATTTTTAAGGAAACCAATCAGGCAATTAAAGATCAAATTAATTTACATAGATAAAAGAAAAATGTAACTATATCTTTAGACTAATACCTTATAGTAGAAAGCTCACTACAAGGTCAAAACCAGTTCAAATGCCATCTTAGTAATGTACTCTTAAGTACATTAACTTAATTCTATGTTGTTTCACAAGTGGTATTCAAGAAAGAACAATTTGATATATGGCAAGTTGGTGACTTAGAGGAAATGTGAGAGAGGTACTGTGATGACTGCGCTCCAAAAGATTTGACTGGACTCCTTGAACAAGACTTTGTGAACACATTAACATTAAGTTTTTTATCATAAGATGTAACGCTATATTGAATGTGACCAACACTTATGTAAATATTTATTATGTTCTATAGTAACTAAATACTCTGTTGCATCTTGTGTATGTATGAATGCTGAGTTGTATATTGTTTAAGCTTTGTGTCAATCATTAGAAAAGGTTGAACAATGTTTGTTGTCATGCCTGTTTGTAAATCTGTTGCAGTGGTTAAGACTCAGCAAGAATGACTGGTAGTCCTACATGTATACTGTAAAATTCACTTGTCAGATGTTCATCATGAGTACTAGTAGTGTTTTCACATTTGTTGGTACCTTCTATTTTTAAAATTTATTCCATTTGCAAGACCCAATTATCTCACTACTATATTGTTCCAAGAGTCAGTACACTATCTAAGCTGTTAGAATAAAATATGGTATTACCAAGATATTTAATTAAGATTTATGATTAAGAAAGGACTTGCAGATTAGTATTATTACACATTCTAACATTTGTGTTAAGTCCTTGTGCAATATGTGTGCCATTAAACTAACAAGAGCTCCTGTAGCTTTTCTCTTAGTTAAGCATTAGTTAGTCAAAATGAGGTCTAGTCTGGGCCAGATACATAATGGTACAAAAACATTTTGGAAGTAATGTTTAAAAAAAGAATGCCCAAAAAGTAATGAAAGAGCATATTCTTCTTCTCCTTGTGTCTGCATGTACATAAAGATCCAAAGTCTCCTGGGGATTTGTTTATAATTTTGCTCTGAGAAGCAGCTCTAAGACTGATGTCCTCTTCATTTTGTATCTCCAAAGAAATAAATCCATACAGCCTTAAATGTGCCATACATGTGGTCAGGGTTTCGTATTTTGGATATAAGGACAGTCACTGAAACAATTATTGCAGTATTTGTAGTGTGAAACTGTACTTTTGTAAATTTGTATTTTCATTCTCAATACCCTTTTATATTTATGAATGTACAGTTGCTATCTGATTACAAACCCTCAATAAAGCAGGTATTGTCATAGCATGTTGTATTCTTTTATATTTGAGCTTCAAACTAGCTGTTAACAATATACTATGTAGTAGGATCCGAATTCTTCCCTTACTTTTGAGCCCAATGAAGGCCCCAATGAAGGGCGGCCCACATCAATGTTTGTACAACATAGAAAAAGTTGTAGAATTTAGAAATGCAGAAAAAGCCACAAAACCGACACACCAGGCTGATCCATCTGGCATGAAATTTCAGAGGTCACATTTTAACAATTTTCCTAGAATAATTTCTCTGTATAAAGAGGACTTACTCACGTCGTAAGCAAGCATCAAACAGCATCTTCCGCCAGTATCAGACAGGGTATCATCAGTTTACTTTGCTGCATTACAAGCAACAATCGCTAGAGTGCGCCCGTGATGCGGAAGTGACTGCCTTAACCAGGTGACCCTTGACACATGTTGCGTCTGCACATCTTCATGGGGTAGAAAACATCGTCTTGTGATCCTCACGGGACAAATTAATTAACCAATCGGGAACCGATGCTGCGGTCCAGGTCGTACGAGGCCGTACCTGAGAGCGAGGAGGTCGGAAGTCCAGGTGGGAGAGGCAGACGGCGTCGGAATTTCTACAGGTAAAGTCGTCTGTCTGTGGAGTTCTGCATGTGCATATCTAACGTTATATTCTGTTGGATTTTAACGTTATGCGCCATCCAAGAATGCGCCCCTCCTTCAAGTTCAAATACAGACATTTATAGCGTTACAATCTCTCTTCTATGTAACGTTAGATCGGGATAGAACAGCTGAAAATAGTATAGCATGTGTCCGAATGTGTTGTGTAACTTACATTTTGTAACTTACCAGCCATAGCTGAGGGCCTGCATGCCCTTTTTCGTTAACCGTTATGGGCTATTTTAATTTACCGTTAATCGTTGCCGACCCGCTCTAATTCAACGTTAAGCGTTATCGGTATATTCCTCGTGAAGCGTTATTGGTCGTTTTAATTCAACGTAAAACGTTATTTGTCATCCTAAATTCAGCGTTAAACGTTAATGAATAATTCTTCGTTACGCCTAATTTTACCTTTCAAAGTGCAGGAAAATGCATCATTGAACGTTAAAAAATACAAAATTTCCCGGGGGAGAATGCCCCCGGACTCCCCTACATTGCTCGCGCCTTTGGCGCTCGACTCGCGCCTTCTGCGCTCGCTCCCTTCGGCTCTAGCCAGCACCAGCTTTCCGTCAATTACTGGAAGTTTGCGGAGAGTTACAGAATTTTTTTTACGAATCCGTCAACCTTGACAGACAAGATTAACAGAATCTTGAGTAAAAATATGAAAACATAAGAAGTACCGACAAACACTCTCAACACCATGATTTGCCTCTCAAAATGCGGGAAATTGCGTTTTTGAAGGCTTAAAAATTCTAAATTTCCTGGGGGAGCATACACCCCCACCCCCCTAGACTAGCGCCTTCGGCGCTCCCCTCTCAAAATCCATCGGTAAAACTGGGCGGACGGAAAAAAGTCAAGCTGGGTAGAGCCCTGGCCGACGTCGACTCGGACTCCCCTTTATTTGTGGACGCACTCGGGGGCCAGGGCAGGTGGGGAACATCACATGTAAGGTATACGTAATTTTGTCAGTGATCACCTTTTCTCAGAAGGCGAGATACCAAATCCAGTGCAGCTCGAAAAAAAGCCTGTCAATTTACCGTTAAGCGTTGCCGACCGTCCTGAATTTACCGTTAAGCGTTATCGGCCCTGCTGAATTTACCGTTAACCGTTACCAGGACCCCCCCATGCAGACCCTCATAGCTAGTTTGGATTATTCTTTTGATGCCGTTTCTTTTTCAGGTTTTGTCAGTGTAAGTTCTGCATGACTGCCATGGGGACCTCGTTAGTGTTGGTGTTTGTTGTGGTGTTTTCTGTGTACCTGGCCAATGGATACCCCATCCACGCCTCATGTACCATCGACTGGTAAGGACGACTATATAACTCATATATCCATATATAGTAGATAACGTTACATACTAACTTATATATAGTAGCCTATTTGGCCTTTACAACCAATATCACATCTAATGATGATAAATTTGGCAAAGAGAGGCTATTATATACATAATCTTGATGCTAATTTACTAAAATCTCTTTATTTTATTGTAGGGGTTTCAGTCAGAACTGCTCGTCTGTGAATGCCAGTTTGGTTAAGATGATCAACACATGGACATCTAGTGACAACTGCAAGAACGGGGGAGAAAAGTGTCTGTACAAGGTGCTTCTTTTCATTCCTGGCGAGTTATAGTACATGTACTTAGTATCTTGAACTTTTTTTTATATGTAAGTGTAATATGACATATTTTATCGAACTTGTAACATAACATTTCAACAAAATTATTCCTTTTTTTAATGGACCCTCCTTTTAATTGCAAGGTATCAGTTGCTTGAAAGAAAGAATTTTCTGAAAATCTGTAAGTTTTAAAATAAATTGTGTATATTTCAGTTTGTCAGTTCATCTGACACTGAGCTGAAGGCGACCCACACCACTCCTGTACACAACTATGTGGACGACCTGACCTTCACCTTCACCCCCGGCCAGGCACCCCCCACTGTCTGCAGGGTCAAGGTGGGGAGAATCTGGAAACTAAACATGATGAAGAAAGTCATCTTGATCCAGTTTTAGCTCACTGAAGAGCTAATGTCCCACTGGTTGTGACAGAGAAGATAGACGATGATCATATACAATGTATATGTACAGTATTTTTAGGTTCATTGTACCAGGAAATTCCCCTGGCTCTTTTTGATAAGCACAGTGAACATGGACCACAACATAATGTCCTATTTAGGACTATCGGGTGAGTGACATCAGCTGGGATTTGATTTCCCAACTAAAGTTCAGAGGCAGGGTCACTACTTATCATTGTACTACGCACGCTACTACTACGAAGAACTAGTATTACAGAAGGAATTCATATTCTGCACCTTACTCATTCTTGCACAAATGGCATGTTTCAATCTAAGAAAATGGTAGCCATAAGAAATAAACTTTACCAGTATTGCACGTAAATTGGGGCTTACTTCGTCAGCCTTGTTCACGGAATTGACCCATCTACTGCAACTTCCAGGACGTGACGTCGGAAACATGTGATTGCAGCAGAGGTTCATACATGTCAGCTAACCTGTCTTACCCCTGTCTGTTCAAGGTTGGATGGTTTGTCCCAATTTACTTTGTGCTGGACATAAAGTTTTAGCCTTTTCATCATAATGGTACAATACCTGTTGTGTTTTCCCAGGCTCACTCTACGTCAGAGACTTGGTACGCTTACCTGGACTACAGCACCAACTACTGCAACCTGCGCAACCTGGCGGAGGGGGCGGGGCTGACCGAGACGCCCAACTTCACAGAAGTGACCAACGACAGTATCTGTACACAGTACTCCTCTAGGAACTGTACTAAATACTGAGATACTTGGTTGACAAATGTTTGTAACAACTTCCATCAAGCACAACATTATGGTGTCAACCTAACAAATTTTGCTTCACGTAAATGCTGTAACACTTGTGTAGCATTGATGGGTTTTGCTTGATGCATTCCCCTTAATGCTTAATCCTTTTGAATAGAAGGTTTCATTACACTGATCTTATTCAGAGTTTGCTAAGTGGATAAGAACATACATGTATTTCATGATTTTCCTTGATACAAAATAATGCTGGTCAAAAGTTAACTTAAAGTTTTGTACTGGAAAAGGCTTTAACTGTTAAGGCTAATGTTCATTGTTGTATGAATGATACTCAAATTGATTTTAAATTGATTTGATATACATTTATTTTTAAGTACCTGCACAAGTGCTTTACTTTACTCTGCATTTACTTTTCTCATATTAAGATTTGAAGTTTGAAAATATCTATGACCAGTTTTCAGTTCAAGGCTGTTTATACTAGCTTGTCTGTCTGGTCTGGTCTAACTTATGTATTCCTTTGAATAAAAGAAGTTGTGCACAAAATGGCTCATTTACCAGTGTATCTATGGTCATGGCAGCATTATACAGCATTTACTTGCCACCCCCAGGGTCTATGATGCTGGTGAAGTAAGAGCAAAATTCTCGAAGACTGGATATTAAGTCCTAAATGAGAGGCAGACAGGTGTAAACTGTGCTGTGTGGTATATATCAGCTTTGAGCCGGCTAGGGCGGGCCTATGCTACTACATTGCAGATGACAAACTAAGACGACGAGGTTATCTTCATTTTGTCTGTTTACAGTTCTACAACAAAGCTATGTGGACATGTAATAAAAAAGGGAGTAACGTAATATACTCCAAGACAGGCAGATTGTTGACATATAGAATAATACGATCATGATCATTTTTGATAGTCGACCACGTTTTGCGAAGGTCTGCTACCGTTGCAAGTCCATGCAATATAGAAGGTGCCGATAATATGAGAAGGGCGGTGAAATATTTATTAATGATGCGTGAGAGGTGTGGTATCAGGAATAAGGCATCGTCATAAAAAACCTTTGGACGTTTCATAAATATAATAATGACTAGATACTTTATTCGTCACGTTTGTAAAAGTACTCACAGAGAAACGTTTTATCCTGCATATACCACATGGCAAATACCTAAAGACCAGGATTTTGAAAGTTGTTTCCAACTGGTACATCTAAGAACAGTTTCAAGTGTGCATTTTCTGATTTGTTCAAATATAACATTAAGTGTTTTTTTCAATAGGTGACATTTTTCAGGCTTTATACGCACAGAAATTAATGCACCATGAAACCTGCTTTACTACAGTTGTAAGATCCACCTTACTTTACTTTAATTTACTCTACTTGCAATGCAGCAGTTGACACAACACAGTCTGAGATCCCCACTAACACCTTTTAAGCTATTGTACAGAGAGGTGGTACGTGTATTTAATTCATTGGGTAACATTATAAGTACATGTATTTTGCATCAGCTCACACAAAGAAAGAGCAGCGTAAGGAATTTACTCTTTTTACAGAAGAGTTTACATTGCACGGAAGAGGGCTTCATAACATGCTCCTTCTGTCACGTCACTTCCGTGTCATTGATGTTTGTGTAACGTTACTGCCCCCAAATTTTCATGGTTGTTTTAAAGCTTTGGGTTTAATATGGGCTCGCACCAGTCCTGGAAGAATGGTCTATGACCGAGTTGTCGTTCGAGTCCCTGTCGTTAGATGGCCCTGCATGCCCTAATTCCTGTACGGGAAACCCCTCCCGAAGTGGACCCGTCCAGACCACCCCCGCCCGCGAGTGGACCTGTCCGGTGGCGCCGTGTGTTCTAAACGCGGTTCCCAGTTTTCGTGCCGACTTCTGCGGATTTTCTGCGGCCAAACTTGCAGGATTTCCCGGGATTTTCCGTGCCCGTGTCGGCCGGGAAAGCATGCGTGCAGTAGCAGTGCTGTTTATCTCGCTGGCTGTGACTTGGGCAGGTGAGAAGTGACAAAGTTTGATTGAAAGTTGGTAAATTTGGTCAGTTTTAGCAGCTCTGCTTGTTCCCGGGTTTACATTTCTGTGGGGAAACTTGTTGACGAACTCATGGGCGGGCAGCATGCCTGCTGTGAACGCCGTACGATTTTCCCCTCGTGGCACAAAATACCAAGGCATGACATAAAAACATCCAAATTTTACAAAATTGTTAGAGAAAAGTAACAGATAATTGGCATAATTAGTACTAGTATTTGAAATCTTTTCAGACGATATTTTTGCCACTCTCTGGTGTATGGGTCTGTGGACAACTTGTTGCGCTAACATTAACGTTACATTTTTGTAACCGTGCCTTCTTGAATGCGCCGACAATTTCTATATTTTGAAAGAAGTTCATCCTACTTCGTATAATAATTTAGTCCCTTGAGACAGAGTGTTGTCAGAACTTGACAGCTTCCCTGGGATCCAAAAATCTTGCTGTAAACAAGCAAAATTTAATGGTGGCGATGACAGATATTACGGGCGCCTTTCTATAAACAGAACAGCGTCCAGCTGTGAAGAAGGGTTGCAGAATTTTATCCCAACGGTTCCTCGTCGTCTTTGCCGCTTTGACAGAAATTGTTTTTCTCAGGATATATCACAGCATCGTCGAATCATCCACCAAGCCGCGTGTTTTATTTGTAAACGCCCTGAATGTTGTCTGCAAATTCAAAATAAAATTCACTATGCACCGTCGTGTATACAGTCAATCTAATAATTTGACCTTACGGGACCCTGCCTCGTCCTCAGTATATGATTTTTTTTCTGTGGGTCCACGGGTTATTTATCTGGCACAGACGACATACATGTCCACCCAGATGTGTTTTTCAGGCAGCCGGCAGAGCCGTTGACATGTGGGTAGACTGAGAAATCTGGAGTGAATTTTGTGGTGTGAGGCATGGCGAATGGCCTTATCAATGAACTACTGAGGCAGGGGTTAGAGGTCAGCTCCGCACAGGCAGCAGGGGGCTACTTGGAAAAGTGTCTTGTCTCTTTAGAAAGGATTACAAAATAACACCTACAATGGCAACTATAACTGGCAAATCCATCAAAGTTTAAGCCCTCTAATCTATTTATTTGCTACAGATTGCTTATAAACAAGATCCTTACAGTGGTTTGTCACTGCTATGTTGGTCAAACAAAGTTGTGTGGCAAACTTTTTTATTTATTGCGATGTTGCCTAGTTTTACAGTCTTCAGGCCTGTTTTATGTGAGTGAGTTTGAAGGTGGTGTTCTGTAACAGTGGCCTTGGTTCAAGGTAAAGAATCTGGTAGTTACATGAGAAGCCCATTCCTGGGAGTCATGTCCTGGTAGTCAGTAACCTCTGTGTCATGACCCTGTGCCCACCAACACCTCTATGTAGGATGTGCCAGCTGTACTAAAAGTCCTGGCACTGGTAGACAATGCTGCATACCTTTCCTAGCTGAAAGCCACCTGGACATTATGCATATCTGTAGTTTTGTTGTAAAACGTTACATTGGCTGTCTCATTGGAGTAGCTCAGTTCATTTCTTATTTTGATATCTTCCTCTTGCACTGTTGTAGCTTGACATTATGCAGTATATCTAGTTTTGTTATAAAACTTTGTCACATTGGCTCAATGGCTGTGGCATGAGAGTTAATGTCTTGCACATTGACTTTCTTCCTCTTGCACTGTTGTAGGTAGGACCAGTATAACAGTTTTTAGAGGACACCAATTTGCTGAAAATGTTAACACCTGCTTGCCTTAAATTACAACACTAATGACACGACCATGGCCTTGTGAGAATCAAACATTATATAGGATGTTAGTAGTTGAACAACTCTGTAACCTGCAGTCTTACACTAGTACTTCACAAACTGGTAATTTTGTCTATGAAATCAAATCACCATAATTGATGTATATATGATGATGATGATGATGATGATGACATATGTCTATGTTGATCTGTTGCAATTTTTGCAGGCAACTCTATGAAAAGCTTTCGTCTTTACCTATTATGCCTTTCCAATAAATGGTATCTATGGAAACAATAATGTTGGCCACCTTATGGCAGAAGATAGCTCAGTGAAAGAGTTGAAAGGAAGGACAGGCATCCTGCACTAAGGTTTATGTCAGAGAGTACCATCCGGCCACTTGTGCAGAGCTAAGGTGAACAATAGCTTAGTGTTATTTGCTAGCATTAGTAGGAATCAGCCATAATACTCGTAATACAGGTCTTTTCTCTGTCCATCACGAAACAAAGAAAAGGAAAAAAATTCCCTACATTTTTTTCGGGTATCACACGCTTATGTTACCTTGAACCTTGAAGTTACAGAGGAATAAAATAACAGTATAGCAGTTGATAATGGACAGGCCTATTGAATTCAAATCTTTCTTTTGTTCTACCCCTTGTTTTGAAACCCATTAATCAAATTCAGTCTGGTATTGGGTCTAGTATCAACATCATTGACATTACCTTGAAAATGCTGGTCTTTGTTGTAAAAACAATGCTCCCTTCAATTTGTTTAGTTTAACTATTGTTTAAAGTTTTCACAACTTTTCAGCCATGGCTGACCAGATCAAGTTTGGAATGTTTTGCTTATTCAAGTGGTAATGTTGAACAATAGGACACATTTTACCTTCTAGAAACGATTGCTACCTGACAAAAATGCTAATTGTCAATGTTCATCAAAGTTTTTGTTTGCTTTCTAGATTGTACATGGCATTTGGCAACTATTTCTTTACCATCTGAAAAATTAACCCTTTGAATGTAGTATGGCTTTTTCTATGTTAGATATTACAGATAAAAGTAATTGTCTTGGACCATCAAACAAGTAGATTCTTCTTGCAAGTTTCCCTGAGGGGCACATCTAGATGACTACTGTGCTACCTCATGCCCAGTCAGAAAGTCTGTTTGTTAGTTGTCAGACCAAAATAGTCCCAAGTTGCTGGATCAGCTTTCTGTCAGGAAGTGATTCAACCGATCTTGGTGAGCGGTTACACAACTGTTGCCATTAAAGTCTGACTCAAGTTTTCTCCTTGTCACTTAGTTCCTGTGCGCATATGTCAGCAAAGGGCCCTGCCTGCCCTTCAACAAGACCTGAAGACAAAATAATGGCTACATGTTGTGCCCACACACCAGAGAAGTTGCTGACACACTTCTTATAACCTTTATACATTTGATTATGTTTGTGTGGAAAGATGTTTTCAGTGTGTCCTTCAGCTTTTCCATCAGCAATTGTACCAAGTACAATGTACTCCATGAGTGTTTATGCATAGCTGGAGAGCGAACTTCCCTGTTTTGAACTTCTAGTTCTGGTCCTGTGTCATGTGTATTTGCTGAGTAGCTGTCATGTCAGTCACTTTCCCATAAACCTGATATATGCACATCTGTACAGCCCCTCTTTAGTTGGAGCTATGTTTACTGTGAGCAGAATAGAATCTTCCCTACATGAGGAAGGCAAGAGTCCTACCAGGCCATATGGTTTCTACTGTTTCCGTTTGGTGACAAGAGCCATGGACATTATCGGATTTGTTTGAATATTTGGCATGGTTGACTTCTTGCCAGCCCAATAAATATCTTGGTTTTACATGACGTTCCTAAGTTCAGGTTGCAGCCAGTCCCCCTCCCCCCAACATTTACTGGCCATTCATTGGTCAGCTAGTGACCAGACAGAGGGCGTGGGCTTGTTATGGCCACAAGACTTTGGCCAAACACACTGGGTCATCCCAGGTCTTCTGATAAGTGTGTTGGATACTTTAATGTTCTTTATACAGAGGGAATGTGTTTATGGTACTGCCTGGACCCAGGCACCCTCTCATAATATTTACACTTGTCACACTGCCTGTCAATCAACTTGACAAGGGGCAAAGTGGCGTGAGCTCTCCCTGCTCAGTTTCATGTCTCAAGTCTTGGTCTATTGTCACCAGGAGGTGGTGCATGGCGTTGACACGCTGTCTCTCCGTTGTACACCCATTTTCCCCACCAGTTTCGCACGTGTTGACTTGGCATGGAAATTCCTATCTTTTGGAGTCGAAGGAAACAGTGCGGATACTTTGACGGGCCTGTTGCAGTGGTCATTTCTACCTCACCCCCCAAGAATGTCTTGCCGAAGTTTTCACCGCAGAGGCTTTGAATAACTGGCTGTGCCGTACAATATCTTCAATACATAGCTGACATACCAGAGCCGTATTCCCTAGTGGTCACAATGGACACGTTTATTTACCCTCTATGGCCCAGGTAACTTGGTACCTGGCTATTGTGATATATCTTTGAACACTGTGGGGAGTCTGACCAACAGGTTACAGGCTTTAACCAGTCATATTTGTTCCAGTTGTTCTTTTGTCACCTGAGGGGTTTTTAAAGCTCTGAATTGGAGGCTGAACTGCTCTCCTGCTAGATGATTTGACTTGGGACCCATCCAAGTTCTGGTCTCGCCCACTCAGTCTTTCAGGAAATGGACATTTACTGGAATTTTATGGAGAAAAGGCAGCTAATTTTTGCCATTTAACTTTCATAGTTTACTTACTTGATTTATGCTCTGTCAATTTCAAGACTCCTGTCGAATTCCAGACAAGACCTATGAAGGCTGGCAATGTTTCCTCTACCTTAGGTCATGTAAGGCTAGCCATCTGTGTAGTCTACATAAATAAGTGTTTAGATAACTGATATCTAAAACTACAGGAAAATGGCAATTACATTGGTTATTTCCCTTGGAAAAAGGCCACGCCTGTTGACTATCTAGTATCTGTACAGCAAACTCACAAGGTGGTCACTGGAATATTTCTTCTAAACAGTACACTGATGGTCTTTTTTACACTTACGGAAAATTAGAATTCAAGTTATCTCCGGTGACAGTCGATGACAGAAATAGAAAGACAATCAAAGTGTCATCTAACTAAGGTGTGTGTCCATTTTCTCATGTGAGCGGCTGGAAAATATATTCCTCAGTCTCTGATTTGTTGTCTTCTCAGCTAGGTTCAAGATGTCAGAGTTCTACCCTTA